ACAAGGCCAAAACAATGATAATCTGTGATTTTTTGAGTGAAAACATAAAAGTCCATTTATCTTGGAAACTATAAGAGACAAAGCCAAAACAATGATAATCTGTGATTTTTTGAGTGAAAACATAAAAGTCCATTTATCTTGGAAACTATAAGATAAAGCCAAAACAATGATAATCTGTGATCACTTTGATTTCCCACCAAAATTCGATTTTTTAGTGAAAACATAAAAGTCCATTTATCTTGGAAACTAGAAAAGATAAAGCCAAAACAATGATAATCTGTGATCACTTTGATTTCCTAGCAAAAATCAATTTTTTGAGTGAAAACATAAAAGTCCATTTATCTTGGAAACTAGAAGAGATAAAGCCAAAACAATGCTAATCTGTGATCACTTTGATTTCCCACTAAAATTCGATTTTTTGAGTGAAAACATACAAGTCTATTTATCTTGGAAACTAGAAGAGATAAGGCCAAAACAATGATAATCTGTGATCACTTTGAGTTCCCACCAAAAATCGATTTTTTGAGTGAAAACATAAAAGTCCATTTATCTTGGAAACTAGAAGAGATAAAGCCAAAACAATGATAATCTGTGATCACTTTGATTTCCCACCTAAAATCGATTTTTTGAGTGAAAATATAAAAGTCCGTTTATCTTGGAAACTAGAAGAGATAGATCCAAAACAATGATAATCTGTGATCACTTTGATTTCCCACCAAAAATCGATTTTTTTGAGTGAAAACATAAAAGTCCATTTATCTTGGAAACTAGAAGAGATAGAGCCAAAACAATGACAATCTGTGATCACTTTAATTTCCTACCAAAAATCGATTTTTTGAGTGAAAACATAAAAGTCCATTTATCTTGGAAACTATAAGATAAAGCCAAAACAATGATAATCTGTGATCACTTTGATTTCCCACCAAAATTCCATTTTTTAGTGAAAACATAAAAGTCTATTTATCTTGGAAACTAGAAGAGATAGGGCCAAAACAATGATAATCTGTGATCACTTTGATTTCCCACTAAAATTCGATTTTTTGAGTGAAGACATAAAAGTCCATTTATCTTGGAAACTAGAAGAGATAAAGCCAAAACAATGATAATCTGTGATCACTTTGATTTCCCACAAAAATTCGATTTTTTAGTGAAAACATAAAAGTCTATTTATCTTGGAAACTATAAGAGATAGGGCCAAATCAATGATAATCTGTGATCACTTTGATTTCCCACCAAAATTCGATTTTTTAGTGAAAACATAAAAGTCCATTTATCTTGGAAACTATAAGAGATAGAGCCAAAACAATGATAATCTGTTATTACTTTGTTTCCTACCAAAATTCAATTTTTTAGTGAAAACATAAAAGTCCATTTATCTTGGAAACTATAAGAGATAGGGCCAAAACAATGATAATCTGTGATCACTTTGATTTCCCACCAAAATTCGATTTTTTAGTGAAAACATAAAAGTCCATTTATCTTGGAAACTAGAAGAGATAAAGCCAAAACTATGATAATCTGTGTTCACTTTGATTTCCCACTAAAATTCGATTTTTAGTGAAAACATAAAAGTCCATTTATCTTGGAAACTATAATAGATAGGGCCAAAACAATGATAATCTGTGATCACTTTGATTTCCCACCAAAATTCGATTTTTTAGTGAAAACATAAAAGTCTATTTATCTTGGAAACTATAAGAGATAGGGCCAAAACAATGATAATCTGTGATCACTTTGAGTTCCCACCAAAAATCGATTTTTTGAGTGAAAACATAAAAGTCCATTTATCTTGGAAACTAGAAGAGATAAAGCCAAAACAATGATAATCTGTGATCACTTTGATTTCCCACCTAAAATCGATTTTTTGAGTGAAAATATAAAAGTCCGTTTATCTTGGAAACTAGAAGAGATAGATCCAAAACAATGATAATCTGTGATCACTTTGATTTCCCACCAAAAATCGATTTTTTTGAGTGAAAACATAAAAGTCCATTTATCTTGGAAACTAGAAGAGATAGAGCCAAAACAATGACAATCTGTGATCACTTTAATTTCCTACCAAAAATCAATTTTTTGAGTGAAAACATAAAAGTCCATTTATCTTGGAAACTATAAGAGATATAGCCAAAACAATAGTAATCTGTGATCACTTTGATTTCCTACCAAAAATCAATCTTTTGAGTGAAAACATAAAAGTCCATTTATCTTGGAAACTAGAAGAGATAGGGCCAAAACAATGATAATCTGTGATCACTTTGATTTCCTACCAAAAAACAATCTTTTGAGTGAAAACATAAAAGTTCATTTATCTTGGAAACTAGAAGAGATATAGCCAAAACAATAGTAATCTGTGATCACTTTGATTTGCCACCAAAAATCAATCTTTTGAGTGAAAACATAAAAGTCCATTTATCTTGGAAACTAGAAGAGATAGGGCCAAAACAATGATAATCTGTGATCACTTTGATTTCCCACCAAAATTCGATTTTTTAGTGAAAACATAAAAGTCCATTTATCTTCGAAACTATAAGAGATAGGACCAAAACAATGATAATCTTTGATCACTTTGAGTTCCCACCAAAAATCGATTTTTTTGTGAAAACATTATCTTGGAAGCTAGAAGAGATAGAGCCAAAACGATGATACTCTGTGATCACAAACTTTGATTTCCTATCAAAAATCGATTTTTTTAGAGAAAACATAAAAGTCCATTTATCTTGGAAACTAGAAGAGCTAGGGCCAAAACAATGATAATTTGTGATCACTTTGATTTCCCTCCAAAAATCGATGTTTTGAATAAAAACACAAAAGTCCATTTATCTTGGAAACTAGAAGAGATAGAGCCAAAACAATGATAATCTGTGATCACTTTGATTTCCCACCTAAAATCGATTTTTTTGAGTAAATACACAAAAGTGGCGCGAAAACACGCAGCTCGCGCAGAAAATCGCTGAATTTTTCCTTCAAACAGATTTTGTTTGATTTTCCATTTAAAATACATACATGCAATGTATTTGTCGTATCTCGTGTTTGCTACAAACACTTTTTTGTTTGCTTCAAACAAAAAAGTATTTGTGTTTGCTAAATAGAAGATAAGGAGACATGACCAAAACAGCGATATTTTAACCTAATAAAATCGCTAGATTTTGGTGATCATATTTTTAGTGTGTGGTAACTCTTGCAACAGCTGAAGTCTACATATTTGAAGCGAATTTAATACAGCTGCGAAGCTAAACAAAAAGTCAACATTAACTGAAATAAGGAGATTTTAGTAGATTTGTGAACAATTTCAAATAAAATTAAAATAAATAATATGCCATCAACGCAACCGAGTATGGCGAATGCATTACCATTCAATCGAGAATGTAATAATCCGCGTTTGGAGGAGCACATGCGTTTCATTTGTCCTGAGTGCGGCAAGGAAAACAACACTCAACAGGAGTGGCGTAAACATTTAAATATCCAGCATAGTTATGCTACCAAGACGGTGGAAGATTTTGATTTTAAGGAAATTGATGATAAGTATCATGAATGTCAAATATGCATGAAATGGGTGGCAAATGCTCACCAGGCTATAGCATTGCTGCAGTATCATCGTTTTCTACATCTGCCCTATGCGCGGACTTATCGCTGTAAACACTGCCCCGGTTCCTTTACGCGTAAGAAAGCATTATGTGAACATTTATTTAGGTTTCACAACGGTCTAATAGCTAAATTGGATAATGAACGTAAATTGCAAGAACTAAAGAGAACTAACGATGAGCTAAGTCCCCAGCATAATAGTGAATTTTATATGAAGTTTGTGTGTCCTTTATGTGGTAAAATATTCAATCGTTTCAATATCTGGCAACAGCATATAGATGCGGCCCACAGCAGCACCTCAGTGGATTTACGTATGTTTCGCATACAAAGTACGAAAAACTATTATTGTGCCCAATGTTGCCAAACACTCTACGATGGTCCTTCTAAGGCTCAGTTGCAGCGACATAGTTTTACTCATTTATCACATCCCCTTTATTTTCAATGTGTCTATTGCAAGATTGGGAAAAGTTATAAATCGGAACTGCTATTGCATGTAATCAAGTCGCATGCAGAGGAATATGAAAAGTACAAGGAATATATAAGAAAACCTATAGAATGGGGTGGTCAAGCTAGTAAGGATGTTATAAGAGAATTAGATTTAATATTGGGTACGCAACCAGCTAAACAAACGGATATTTTACAAAAGGCTATACAGGTGAGAGAGTGGAACAAATGATAAAATATTTTTTCTTTTAAATATTAACATTTCTTTTATTATAGGATAGTTTTATAAATCTAGAAGAGGAGATAGATAAAGATTTAAAATTCCAACATGAAGTTGCTTTAGATCAAAGTCTCAAAGAACTGGATGATATTTTAAATTCCGAAATCGATCCTAATCTTCAATTAAGAGCTAAAGCTAGCGTGACTGAAAATGAAATAGATGAGGAGGAATTGGAAGTATTATGCAATGAAATGTTTGAGGAAATTACAGAACAGCAGCCTATGAACCATGTAACGGAAGCGTTAACAAAACCCAATAGAAAACGTCTGAAATTAGATTTATCTGCTCCGGAAAATGGTCTCAAACTTAATGATTCTCTACAGAAAGAAATGCAAAAGTATATCAATTATCTTTGTCCAGAATGTGGCAATGAATTCGAATCACAATCTGTTTGGCGCTCTCATGTATTTGAGCAACACAATTTGGCCAATGCTGTGGATACAAAATTCCGCGCATTTAATGCCCAAAAAACAGCGTATATTTGTTTGGTCTGCTATCAAATACAGCGTACAGCAAAACATTCCGAATTAAGACGTCATCATTTTCAACATATGCCCTATCAGGCCTATTTGAAATGTACCATATGCACTAAAACCAAATCAAGTAAACCCAAAATGTTGCAACATTTACAATTCTCACATCTTAAAGATATACAGAAGACTACAAATACTATGGCGACGAGTACAAAAACGATGGTGAAAAATTTACGTTGTCTCGATTGTGATAAATTATATGCTCAACAGACAAGATTTGAGACACATTGCCGTCAGTGTCCACAACGTTTACAACCGCTGGCAGTGGGTCAATATAATATAGAGAAAAATATGAAATTATTGGAACATTTACAAAATGCTAGCAGACGTATCGGCAAGCTATTGGAGGAGGAGGGTATAGATGTTGCCAGTATGAAATTACCTTACAAATAGATAGTAAGCTATTTAAAATAAAATACTAATTTCAATTTAAGTGAATATTGTTTTGATTAGTCTATAAAATTAGTTTTTAGTTTTATTTAATAAAATTGAAATCTGCGGAATTTGTGAAATTTTTTTATTTACACAGTTAATGCCAACAACACTAACCTTGAGCTAAGGTTGGCTACCGTTATTGCTAAAATGTCTTTTCAACCGTCATTCATTTCCCTACCATTAAGTAACTTCTTATAATATCCCAGCAATATTAGCCACCTGATCAGCTAGATGACTAGTTATTTTAATATGAACATGTCCTAGGAGGAATTAAATTGACTCTTTTGAGACAGTATTTGACTCGGATACAAAACAAATAACAAGTTTCAAATGCCTTTTCTCTCTTTTACCAAGAGGACGGTAAAGTGGCGACCGTCTTTCCTTCATTTAATTAATGTACCATCAATTGACGACCTACCTTCTCTCGTTTAACTATGGTACTGAAAAGTGACGATCCGATTACGAAAGTGATGAATAACCTTTTACATGTATACCATTAGAGTTAACCAGCTAGACATTCGTATAAATTACTGTCTTTTACGTGTGCATTGACTCTTTGTCGAACATATTTACATACAAATCGACAATATTTCTCCTTACTTCGTGTTAAACTTTAACGTTCACATTTTAATTCAATTAAATTTGGTAAATACATTTATTTTTTGGTACAAGTACGAAACCTTTTTATAATTTTTAAATTAAATCACACAGATATCCTCCGAGATATGTTCACTATTGCGATATTGTATAAATACTTTTGCAAAAGTTAAATTCTAATACCCAATGGAACCACTTTTGCATCTAGTTTCACAAAAGTCCAAAGCAAAAACAAAGTAAAACTTACTTACATTTTAATATTTACTGCTCTGTTGTTTTTCTTATATTTTAATTTTATATAAAACACAATATTCACTAAATAAATTGCAATAAAACTATTAAAATTGTTTAAACAAAATAATTCCTTTTAATCAAACGCCATTTTGGCGTCAACTTGCAGTTGATAAACACAAAAAAAAACAAACAGAGTTGCATTCTAACAAAATAACGGTCACGTCAATGGTAGTAATAAGAGTGTTGCCAATTGTTATTTACCACAAAGAATAATCCCATATACAATAAAACAACATTTACATATAATATTTTTGTCATATATGTTCTATGTACTTATATATTTTGTTTAATTTAAATTTATTATTTTATTTTTTTCTCTTATTTCATTTCTTTGATGTTCGTTCATGTTTTTAAATATTATTGAAATATATATATTTATTTTATTTTTTTGTTTAAAATAATAATAATAATGACATTAAAGTGTAATATGTTTAAATATTATAATTATGTTGTTTTTTCTTATTATGTTTATATATAATAATTTATCATTAAAAATGTACAAAGTGTTAATTTTTTATGAATTTTATATAATTTTCTTTAATTTTATTTTTTCAATATTGATACCTTGTTATAAAAATTGTTTGAGTGAGGAGAGGGTAGGGGCGTATAGAAAGTATTTTATGTAAAATTGTTTTAAACAAAGAAGTTATTAAGATTTTAGTTTAAGAAAAGGAATGTAAGATTGAAACTTTTATTAAACAAAATTTAAAATTTTGTTAAAAATAAGGTAATCTCAAAAAAACTATAGAATTGAAAACATTTCCATTGCATAGGAAACTGGTCCGTTTGTAGAAAACAATATTTCCTGTCACTAAAATCTACGAAAATTGAATTATTTTTGTAATTTTATTCTTCAGAAAAAGTAAAACTGTAGACTTTTCAAAATATATATGAAAGTCCCAAATAGTGGTTTAAATTTTAAATAACTCCCCCAATGTTTTCAAATAATTAGGTTTAAAAATTTTAAATTTTGAAGTTTTCAATCCCTTCATATTTTTACAAAATCTCAATAGCTTCTCTATTTAACTTTGTTTATACAAATGGTAAAATTTATTTATAACAAATTTCGAAAAACGCACAATGTGTGTCATCATATATCAACATAAAAATATCAAGAAAAACAAAAAACTTTAAAATAAATGTATCTTAAAATTCTAGATTTTTAAAAAATATTAAATGTTATACAATATATTTTGTTGCTAATAATTATTAACTACATTGATTAATATTTATTTCATTTATTTATTTAATTATTTGTTTATGTTTTAATAATTATAAATAATGTATTTTGTTTTTTTTTTTGTTGTGTTAATTGAATTATGTTGTCAAATATTGAGATATTATAATCATATTTTAATACTTTTATTGTTATTTTATTTTATTGAATATATATACATTTTATGTTACCGCATATTTCTAATAATATTTAAATGATTATTTTGTTATTTAAATAATTATTACTTCGTTTTTATGTTTTTCTGTTTAGTATAGAGGCTTTTTACAGTTTCAATATAGCAAGTATTTTTATTTTTTTAATATAATTTATAGTAATACTTGTTATTTTGTTATTGTTTAAAATCTATTAAATTTATTTTTTGCTAGTGTTGTATTTTTTGTTTAAATTTTCTAATAGCACATGTTGTTTTTTATTTTCTTTGAAATCCTTATGTATTTTCTATTAATAATTAAATAATTTTACGTATATTTTTGTTTATTTTTAATTAAAGTATTTTAAAATATGTTTTTTTTTTTTTTTTTGTTTTTTAAATTTTATTTTATAAAAAGATGTGCTTTTTTTAAAACAAAATTACCTGATTTGTATTATTTGCTTTTAAGTAAAGTATTTGTTTGTTTTCGTTACTGGTTTTATTTTCATTATTTTTACAAAAGAAAATTAACTATGAAAATTTTTCTTTAATAATTCGCTGAGGTGGAAAAATTCTTAGAATTTTAAAACATATTTTTCTCATATTTATATTATTTTTCTGTTACTTCAAATACTGTTTTGGTGTTTTATTGTTAGTTTTTAATTTTTATATAATAGTTTTATTTTTATACATTTAAAATTTAGCTAATTTTGTTTTATTTACATTTTTATATAAAAAATTATATAAATTTAAATTATACTTAAAGAAAAAATATATTTAAATGAATTAAAGTATTAATTATAAAAGTAAAAAGGAAAATTAAAAATAACGGCAGTATTTCTTAATATTTTTTTATTATTATAACTGCTATAAATGTTTGGCACATTTTGAAGGCATTTTTATATGTATGTTAATTTTTAAAATGATGTTTTATTTCGTTTTTGTTATAGATGTTTTTAAATATTGAAAAAATATGTTTTTAAGTATTGACTTTTTCGGCTGACATTGTGTATATATTTTGGTCCCGTTTAAATTAGAAAATAATATAAACCGGTAAAATGATTTTGAAATATTGTTAATACAAAAAATATTCTAGATTTTTGTGAAAACCCTATGAATTATGTTTCAAAATCTAAGAATTTATTAAATTACAACAAAATTAACAAAACTAAATAGTTAAAATATTTTTAACTAAATTTCATTTAATTTCAATTCAAAATTTAAAAAACTGATATTTTGAGTAGTTTTGATATAATAATATACATATGTATGTATATTCTTAATTTGATTCTTTAAGAAAATTAAACCAATAATTTATTTCAATGAAATGAAAAAATTTTATTGATTTTTGTTTAATTGAGGAAAACCATTTCAATTTTAAAATCGATAGATTAATTTTTTGTAAATCAACTACTATCGACATTGAAGGAAGCTAAAACAAAATTTGAATTCCGCTTTCAAAATCAATATTAAAAAAATAAATTAAATTATAATTAAATTTGGTAAAACAATTAAAAAAATATAGTGCCCGTTTCTATAAATGTGAAAAGTTGAAACGTTGTTCGAAATCTACCCATCCCTGGCTTTCAAGTTGGTGGAGTTGCCAAAATCCTTGAATAAATATGTATTGTTAACTATTGACATTGGCAATAATTATTTAGCGATTTATTAATCGTTGAGAATTTTGATTTTTAAATAAATTGTTTATGATTCAAGAGGTTTTGCTTTTTATTTTGCTTAAATATTAAAATTAAATGTTTTACGCGTAAACAACTCTATTTTCAACATTTCTGCAGGATATGTATCGGTAAGTTTTTGGGAAAGGTGGCGGACAGAGTTCATCCGAAGTAACAAATAAATACTGCACTCACTAAAGATTGATGACTTAGGCAAAACAAAGCGTAGAAAATATGGTTACAGATGATGTGTCTGAGCTTAAGTAAGACTAGCTAATAGAAACATTGTCTGTTCTGTCCGATTATTGCAAGATCTATCGCAAACCAGAGGATGTATTCCCCATTACCTTTGAATGTTAGTTAAGTATACTCAGAGGTTTTGAGAATGAGCTTAGAGGGGATTGTTAAACTTTCTTCAGATATGTATTTCTATTCTGAACCTTTTTCCTTCTTTCCTCGATGATATTGGAACTAATTAGTACAAGTTTTGTGATGGCATTTTTAAAGTATTAAGACCAAATATATCTTTACTAGTAAAGGGTTCTTTGGGGAAATTACAAGAGAATGTTATTCGATATGTTTTAATAAAATATCGACTGTTCAAAGGTTGATTTATAGAATCTAGATATTTCGTTAGATTTGAGTTAAGAATTAAACATTAGAAATGGTATAAAAATAAGAAAAAGTTAATTTAAAGATATCTATTAAATTTATCATTTTACCGGTTAATTTATAAGTTAAAAAAAATTAATTATGAAAATAACAAATTATTGAATAATAGCACAGACCAACAAAAGAAAGTCGAAACCCATACATCAAAGCAGCAGAAAGCGATACTGGCCACAGAATTTCTCCATCATATTGTGTTTTTTAAACTTTAGAACATGATTTTATAGGGAAAACCTGATGTGATAAAGAAAATCTGGGGCCAGATTCGCAACCAGCGCAGTTCAAACTTTAGAAAAGTATACTTTGGCCTCTGGGTTTTTCAAAATTTTGTTAACCTGTATAATTAAATAATTAGGAATTAAAAAATTTTAAGAAACAATGTGGTCATACAAATGGTTGTAAAATTAATTAAACTGTAGCAAATTTTTTCCCAAAATTCAAGTATTCTACAAAATAATATTATAA